ATTATGGCTTTTCTCGCAGGGATCTCCACCACCAGGTGTGGATCACAACAAGGTATTTAGTAGATTTAGAGCAAGGTATCAAAAGTCGTCTTCTCATGGAGAAGAAAGTTTGGGCTTTCATGCTGTTGATCTTCGTACTTCAATAATAAAAGTTGATGCCGAAGATACAGATTTGCGGCTATGCTTCAGAATAATTTCACCATCAAAAACTTACACATTGCAGGTGGAAAATAAAAGCATTTTTATTCTTGTTATGATTATTATTTTGCTCCTAATAATAATATTATTATTATTATTAGAAAAATTCATATCATTACCTAGGATCTTATGTGAATGCTCCCAAAAAGGAAAAAGTACATTAGCACTCCGAAAAAAGTGTAGTTCCATTAGCATTTCCTCTGTCACCAGAGTGGGATCCCTGACTAATTAATTTACAGCCATCTAGCCGTCTCTGTTGGGGTTTCAAATTTGGTTGGATTCACTCCACAGGATCATAAAGCGCTTCAATCCAATATTGAATCCAACCGGTCAACTAGTTCAACACAAAATCTTATCAACCTCCTTCATTCTCCCTTAAATATCTTAATGTGGGACTAACAATTATTATTGCTATCATTCTTAATATTGGTGGTGTTATTGTTAACAACATTGTTAAGAGAAAACATTATTTATTGTACTTACACAATACCACCATGATGCATTTGAATAAATAGATGAAACCAAGTGAGAGAACTGGATCCCTTTGTTTTTGGGTTCATGCAAAGATAAAGGTCTGCTCGTCCTTCACAGAGCAGGGTAACACCCCAAGGCTTGAATTTTTTAAATGTCTTATGCAATTGGTTTGTTTGTCGGAGCAAATCTTGTGAATTCAAAAAGTAAGAAGCAAGATGTGGGTTTGTCAAGTGCTGAAGTTGAGTATCGTGCCTTGGCTTTAACACACAAGCAAATTTGGTTGAAATATCAACTTCATCAATTAAAATATTGTGATTTTACTCAAATGCAATTGGTTTGTGGCAATCAACATCGATGCACATTGCATCAAATCCAGTATTTTGTGATAGGACGAAATGTATAGAACATGATTGTCACTTAATTATAGCCAACATATTACAGTTTGATGCAGTCTCACCAAAATTTTTAACTAAACATTTTGAATAAGTGATTTAAAGGTCTTAGGGTTGGGTATCTTTGCAACAAGTTTGGTGCATATCANGGCTGTTGTAAACATGATTGTGTTTAGGAATATAATTGTAGGTACTAGATATGTAGGAATAACTAGTGGAGTAATTTATTTGTATATATGTCTTTGTCGCAATGGTGTAAAGTAAGTGTGAGATCAATAATACATTAAAGTGTGAAATCAATAATACATTCATATTTTTATTAATTAATTTTGCACATATTTTCACCTTAATAGTTCAGGCAGTAAGATGGATGAATAAACTATATCAGAAAATCTTAAAAACTTTTGTATTTATGTTATTTCTAAGTTTGCACACATAGCAACCTTAATACTTACTAGGTATTGTTTCAATAATATGTGTTCTTAGACTCTAATGGGTATTATAAAGATTTATCATTTATGGCTGTGTTGCTTGACCAAATGCATTTGAGCTTATAACAATTAGCAATATGGTATTTTTTAATTTGCTAAATTCATTTCAGATGTCACTTTTGTTGTGTTTCCTATATACTTTGATGTAATTAGAACTTCCATGTTTTTGGCAGGCTGAAAATGAAGCTGATAGAATTGACTGGATGAATAAAATAACTGGAGTCATTGCTTCCCTCTTAAATTCTCATTTGCATGGGGTTGATTCCTTGAAAAGCTTTTCTCTTCGTACAAAACACTTATCTGCTAACTTTTGTTAAACTCATTTTCTTATGCTGCAGCTAGATGTTGGCAAAACTATTGTGAAGAGTGGTACTTCCAGTTCTGGTGCTTGCATTGATGACATTTCACTTGAAAACATTGCTAGAGAATTGCCGAGTGTGCCAACTGGTCAAGTTGAGTCTGTCTCTAAAATTCTTAGAGAAATTCCAGGGAATGACAAGTGTGCAGAATGTGGGGCTTCTGAACCTGATTGGGCTTCTCTTAATCTTGGGATTTTGGTGTGCATAGAATGCTCTGGCATTCATAGAAATCTTGGTGTTCATATCTCTAAGGTACATGTTTTACTATTTTTCCGAATCAATCCTCTTTAGTTCAAAATGCAGCTAAAGGAGGTTGCTATAGCCCTTTATTCCATGATGGTATGTAGATGATGTATGTCAAGGGAAAATATACTACGGGGTACAAGATTAGTTGAAAATAAAATGCTGAGACATCACACTTCCAATTCTAGTCTTGAGTTATATCACGGTCTTATTTGATTAACTCTTTCTTGATTTATGTTGTGTTTAAGAACATGAATATATTGATTCACAAAAGGTGTAAGATAAAGTATTCTAACACAGATATTTGAATATTAGATTCCTCAATACTCCTTCAATCCCAAAATGAAGGTGATTTTTGGAATTTGTGCCAAACATTGACCATTAATGTCTCATTTAGTAAAAGTCAAAAATATACTCCCTCCGTCCCTAAACGATTACCATCATTTGACTTGTTTGGTCAAACTGTGGCACCCTTTGACCGTGGATTTTGGGAAAAAAATATTTAGTTTTAATGTAAATTTGGTAAAATTGGGTTTATTTTAAAATATAGTTTTGCAATATCAAATTTTTATAATATTTAATTATTTTAAACTAATTTAATTATTTAATTTTTAGAGTAGCTGGATAGGAGCTCGGTGTTGTACAGGTTGTTTTGTAGTGTGTTGTATTTGTTTGGAATCTTCTGCTATTGTTTGTACTTGTTGCTTGTACTTGTTGCTTGTACTTGGTGCTTTATCTGTGCTATACTGTGTTCCTTTCCATATTTTTGTGTAGGTGGAGCCGGGGGTCTCTTGGAAACAGCCTCCCTACTTCCGAGTAGGGGCAAGGTCTGCGTACACACACCCTCCCCAGACCCTACTGTTGTGGGATTCAACTGGGTTGTTGTTGTTGTTGATGTATTTTAAACTATATTTAATTCTTGGTCAAAGGGTGCCATAATTTGACCAAAAAAGTCAAACTCTAGCAATCTTTTAGGGACATAGGGAGTACTATTTATATTATCACATTTGTGATGATAATAGTTTCATAATTTGTAAATATTATGATTTTTGACCATGTATTTTAAGAAAAATTAACAGTGAAAGCTTGGCTTGATTTTTTCGTTGAGGTTTAACATTTTGGGACGGAGGGAGTATTGTTTTATGAATATATTTGTTAACAAATTGAAATGCTGATAAAGATTCATTCTACTGATAAACATTCATTAACTGATTAATAGTCATCAACAAAGATATAGATTAACAAATTGATTCTGTTAGATATCCGGGAGCATCAACGGAGACTTTCCTTAGCCCACGAAAGGAAAGACGGATCAGGGGAATAAATCCAAAGTGTGGTGACGTTATTAGGGTTGAATCCACTCCTTCGCCCGTCCCTAAAGCCCAAACCAACACCAGGACTGTCCTACACCCCACCTAGGCCGAACCAACACCCCCCCATTCCTTCCCTAAACATCCAAAGTTCCTTGTCATTTAATTCCTTTCAAAATAATGTTTTCCTACACTTATTTTTAGCCTATGGCAGAAAATAAGAGTGTGTAAACCAAAACCTTTTGTTTGTTGTTATTTCCATTTTTCCTTTCTTTCTTTGGCCGAACTTAGGGCATCCCATGAACCCCATATCACCCCTAATACACCCCTGGCAGAAGTTCTTTGCATAAACCACAACCAAACAAAACACTTCAATTCCCTCATTTGAGAGCCGAGGATACCAGGCCAAAATCACTCCCTTATTTCACACAATAAACCCATCATTACCAGCCAAAACCCCCCTCTTATTCCATGCAAGAGACCTGCCCCTGTCCCCCTTTTTGTTCCCCAACAAAGCTGCACAGCCCTGGCCCACCACTAACTCAATCAACTCTCTCTTATTCTCTACATAAACACCCAAGAGATACCTCCAAAAGAACAGCCAGCCTTCCCTCTCTTTTACCCCCACTTGGCCAAGAATACATCACCCAAAAAACCAATCAAAGTATGGGTATTATTCACATAAACATTTCCCATGCACTAAAGACCGAGAAGGGAGCTCCACAACCACACATCATCTCTGAATTTTCTCCCCACCTAGAAGACATGAGGGGCTGATGAATATTTGCTAGGAAGCTTCCTTATGTCCCATTAATTGTATTGTGTGTTTCCCCCCCACTTTCCCCTCCATATATAATTCGGCCTTAGGGCCATGTTGTAAGGCAGCTTTTTGATGAATTAAAACACTACTCTTTGAGTATATTTTAAATAGTGTGATGCTATTTAAGCCAAATTCCTAATTCTATATCTTAAGAGTGGTTATCTTAAGTGTGAGTTTTAGGTTCTAGATATTTAAATAAGTGTGTAATATCTTATTTGAATTCTAGATTCAAACCCCAAGTTAAGATAAGAGTCTGTCATATCTCTTAACACCAACTTGGTTTATCCCCTCCTATTTTATTCCCCCATTTCGTGCCTCCCCATATTCTCTTCCTAAACCTCTTCTTTTTTTCTTCATAAAAAAACACCAAAATAACTCCCCTTTTGCCCCATAATATTTCGGCCACCCCATTTCCCCCTCACCTCACCATAATTCCTTCTCTAAAATAGCAACGTATATTTCGGCCACCCCATTTCCCCCTCACCTTCCCATAATTCCTTCTCTAAAATAGCAACGTGATAAGACCCCGGGTCTCGGGTATAACATTTGGTATCAAAGCATTGTGTTTCAACATCCCTAAGGGCCAATTACAGTTCCATAAACCTTTCCCTTCCGCTTGGTTATTTCGACCAAGACCACTCCAAAAACACCCCTTCAAAAAACCATCCCCCTTATCTCTTTGTTACTGCCATAAAGATCAGCCTCAATACCATCTCTCTTTTCTCTTCCTTCTTTGGTATTTTTGGCCAAAGAGACCCCTAAAAACCACCCTTACCTTTCCCTTGCCTCTCCCTTAAAACCACACACCAAAGCCCACCTCAACACCACAACCATGTTCCCCTTTTTCTTGCTGCCATCACCAACCCCAAAACACCACACCCTTCTCTCTTAATTCGGACACCATATTTCACCCAAAACCACCCATCATTTCTTACCATTCTAGCTACTGCCCCATTCTCTTCCTCTTCTTTCACACCATTCAAGATGTCAAACACCTCTGTAATCATCACCAATGAAGAGCTGTGGGCCTCGAATACAAAACTCAAGACCCAAGTGGAGTACTTGGCTAAGCAGATTGCTCAACTCACCAAGTTCAAAATGAATATGATGAATACCCCTGAAGAAAGTGAAGATGAGCAAGAGGAAGAAGCCCAATCAGAAACTCATCCTTGTCCCACAAGAAGAAACAACCAAGAGAAGTCATCTACTAATTCCAAAGTTGAAATCCCAACTTTTGATGGCAAAGATGACCCCAATGATTTCATAGAGTGGTTAGAGACAATTGAACGTGTCTTTGACTATACCGAGGTATCGGAGGATAAGAAGGTCAAGCTTGTGGCCTTAAAATTCAGAGGCTACGCATCTACGTGGTGGACTAACACTACCACCAAGCGCAAAAGAGAAGGCAAGGCTGCTGTTAAAACATGGACCAAGATGAGAGCTTTATTGAAGAAGAAGTTCATTCCTACTCATTATATAAGGGAAAACTTTGCTACGCTTCAAAACCTACGGCAAGGAAATCAGTCCGTAGAAGAGTACAACCGAGAGTTTGAAGAACTCTTGATGTGATGTGATCTTGAAGAGAATGACTCACAAACCTTTGTGAGATATTTATTTGGTTTAGACACCCAAATAGCCAACACCGTGGAGTTGCAAAACTTTGAAAGCCTTGAAGATTTAACAAAGCTAGCCCTAAAAGTGGAAGCTCAACTCAAGAAAGGCAAGTCCCCCTTGAACCGCCCCCTTCCACCACATCAAGGCCAACCAAATAACACCCCCATTGCTGCCCAAAACCCCACGCCCCCCTCCCCTTAAAATCTCAAAACCATGCACCCTATTTCATCGCCAAGTGCTCCTTCTCCTTCAAAACCTAGTTCATCAAGTAGTCGAGTCCAAAAGTGTTTTCGTTGCCAAGGCATTGGTCACTATGCTAGTGATTGTCCAAACAAGAAGATCATGGCTATTGTTGAATGTGAAGAAGAAGAAGAAATGAACCCCTTTTGGGTTCAAGGAGAGCCGAAAGAAGAAGAGGAAATTGTTGGCCCCGACGAAGGTGAACTTTTTGTAAGATTTGTTACAACTCAAGACGTTCCTTCATTAACATTTTTTCAATACTTGATGAAAATGAGAAAATTGCTTGTTTTCTCTCATTATTCTTTTCTTTGATAGTGCCTCCTTTTTTTCAAGTACTCATACTTACCATGACCCTTGAACAACATTCCAACAGATGCTCCATGACGAGTAGTTAGTGCTTTTGACATGCTTATCAAGGGTAGTGATGACAAAGAAGTAGAATGTTTATCCCTATAAAGTTATTTTGATGAAAAATTGACCTTGGAGAAAACTAGTACGAAAAGATGCCAATGAAGTACAATATTCTTTTGAAGTATAATATGACCCTTTTGTGGATGAATAAAAAACGCAAGAAGTCTCAATGACTGAGAGAATATGAGCACTAATGAAGCTTTACTAAGGTACTTATTGGGGTAGAGTAAGTCTTTGGACTTCCAAAATTGTACTTTACGAGTTCTTTAGCATACTTGCTTTGGCTAATGAATATCTCATCTTCCTTATTGTTTTGTTGCCCAAGGTAACATAATCATGACTCTTTTTTTGTTGCATGCTAAACCACTTGGAGCTTGAGCAACTGCTCTCCACTATCCATGTGGTGTTATCCCTTTTTAGTACCTATAACCAAGAGTACGATAGTTGTATACCTTTGTTTTACCAACCTAGGTCAAAGTTTTGGTGGGACCTTGTCGCCTAACCCAACTAGACGTTTAATATGACAATGGGTTAAGAGGCGCCCATGGGCCATGGCTCATGCAATGATGACAAGTTTTAGATTTCTTGTTTGATGAACCCAACACATATTTTGTGGTTCTTGAAGGGGATGCCACATTTGTGCCGGTAGAAGGCTTGTCCGTGTAAATTTAAGTAAGATAGTAATGAGTTAGTGACATTAGGTTTGCAATTTTCTTATCGTGCTAGCCATGTTCTTGCTACAACCGTTCTGAATTCAAGGTTTGTTCTGGGGAAGCATTTTTCACCTTTTCGTATTGCAGGTCAGTACTTTGTACCTGTAGCCAACAACCGGCCTTTATGTACCGGTCAGAGGTATTCACCGCACCGGCTCACACTCAAAACACACAATTTTTATTCAAGTCCAAAAGCTCCAATTACCAAAACGTAAAACAAGTTTTTATGCACAAGAAAAAGATAATAAAAATAGTATTTGTTCAAATGTAAAGTGAGGGCAATATTATATAACCAATATAAACTCATTATTCTTAACAACTGGTTTTTAAAAAGTTTTAAATCCGCTCCATGTAGTCGAAAGAAGTTTCATGGATTGTGGGGTTATTATAGACCTGCAATGATGAGTTTAACACTTTAACACAATATGGAAAGACTTATTTGGCACATCAAAATGTCAGGATTTAAGCATAAAGGTTTATAGAACTGTTCACAATTCCTTAGCCATTTGACATGATTGCTCGTGCCGTGGTATGGAAGGAAAACCAATTTGGAGTATCTTGGAACAATGAAGATGTTCTCGTATTCGTCTGTATGATGGTGGGTGGAGGTTGAAAGCACCTGAGATGCTCGACTAAGGCCATATATCCTGTACTTATTCTTGTAACGACTATGAACTTGATTGCCATGTACCGTATTGGTATGGTTTGGATAAGCTAAACTCTATAGAATTCCATCAAGATCATCACCAGTATTAAAAAACTTCTTTTTTAAATCTCGAACGGTTTGTTTATGCCCTTAAAATTATAACAGGACATAAATCCATCTTTTAAATACTTAAAAAAACCAACAATTTTCATTCAATGTTCAAACTCTTAAAAAATTAAATAAATAATGCCAACTAATTTGTCATAGTTTTTCACTGTTTGATTTATAAAATAGTTCTGAAGGAATGCCGGAGTAATTTTTATAATCCTATACACTTTCAGTCTTCCAAAAAGATACAGAAAGTTCTAGTTTCTAGTCCGTATAGATCCAGAAATTTCGAGATAGATTCAGAAAAATCAATACTGATCTAGAAAGTTCCAGAAAGAATGAAGAGATGAAAGAAGATGCCCTAAGGGTTGCTCATTAAAGTGGCTTCTGATTAGAGTTTGGCGAAGCACGTTAGAAACTTAGAATTAGGGTATACTATCTCCATCCCTGAAAGTTGTTCCTGCACTATTCCCATCCACAGGACAAACTAGATCTTTCTTTCTTTGTCTATTTTCGTTAACCATTTGTCAAAATAACATACCCAAGCACCTCATGTTTTATAAAGCTTTTGATGTAGATTTTAAATATGTAAATGTTATAATTTTCATATTATACCCATATTTAATTAACTTAAATTGAAAATAACTTCAGTCAAGTTCGCAACATGAACTTCTTTGTTGGACGGAGTGAGTGTGACATTAATATTCCAAGATATTCTAATGTAGATATAAATTTTAGCTTTAAATAAATTACCACTTGATAAGTACCTCTTAGCCTCACACATATCACTTCGTAATATGTGAAATGTTATCTGTATGAATGTAAAAATAATTGTGGATCTGAATAAAATGCTTTGATATTTATGGAGTGTCAACTGTCAAGATACTGTACTAACTGCAGGTAAGGTCCATAACTTTAGATGTCAGAGTTTGGGAACCTACTGTCATGGATTTGTTTCAAACTTTGGGTAATTCATATTGCAACTCTATTTGGGAGGAGAAGCTTTTACTTCCAAACTGTGGGTATGTTTCCTTCATTTGAATTTCTTATAGTTCCAGTAATGTGCATATTACTATGCATCCTATTTATCCAGCCACTATCTAAATCACACATTAAAAATTACTTGAAGTGCTTATTGAATATTACTTCATGGGCCCCTAAAGGAACTTCTGGCTTAATATTTACACACTTTTAAAAAAGTGGAAATTGTGGTTCGAATTTAACCAAGAAGGAAAAAAAATACCAACCACAAAAAGAAATAGACGATAATTTTTAGGCAGACAAATAAGGTAGAATGCAGATAAAATAGGGAAAGGGGAAGTTCCAACTTTACCTTTATCTATGAACTCACTACACATTAATGAACATATTTTTCAAGGTGTTTCATTTTTTTGAAGGGTAATATATGAAAAAAGTAATTCACGTTCCATATACTAACAAAATGACCATGAGATTTGATCCAGCGCAGATGATTATAGGTAAGAATAAATTACTTTTTATTCTTAATACAATTAAGAAATACTCCCTCCTTCCCGTTGTTTTCGTCCACTTTCGTTTGGCCTCTTAGACCAAGGAAAAGGTAAATAGAAGAGGAAGTTACAAATATGCCCTTGTTACAATTATCACTTTTGTTTGGCTATGAGAACTACTCCGCATGAGGTAGCAATTCTCTAAGGCAAATTCCTCTCCAGATTCAGATTGCAGATTGCAGATTCAGATTCATCACTCTTTTTATCTACAAATAATCATGTATATTCCTCTCAAGCAATACAAATTTCATCTCCAGCAGAAATTGCAGATCCGTTCTCTTACGGTGATCAATTAGCAACATGAGAAGCTCCAACTGTAGATTAGTTACTCTTAGGACGATGATTGAAAAGCTATAGCGGCAAAACCGTCTATGGCGATGTATAATGCTACAATTTCTACCAAAAGAAAAATTTGGAAGCAAATAACTTAAGATCAAGCAGTATTTAATAGCGTATTCTGGTCAGGTGTTTAATTTTCTAGAGCTTGGACTATGCTTCAACTTTCGTTTCATCACATTAATCACACTTACCTACCTCTATGATGCCCACCATAAATATACTCCCTCCGTCCCGTAAAATTCCTTACACTTTCCTTTTGGGATCTCCCAAAAAATATCATACACTTTATTTCCTATTTTGGTAATGAATGTGTGACTACCAACAATTCTCTCTCTAAACAAATTCTAACTACATACTTTTTTACTTTTCAACAACTTCCGGAAGTAGCATGAATTAATAGTGTCAAGAAATTTATGGGACGGATGGAGTAGTCATTTAATTTAAGAAGAATAAATAACTATCTATTGAAACAAAACAATATCAAGACTTCAGTAAGCATGGGGTTCATCTTGGTTAGGCGATATAGCAACACAATGAAATTCAATGGTGAAATGAGTGGACTTGAATTGCCAATACAAAAATTGAAGACAACACAGTGGAACTCAATCTTTATACACCAGGATGGAACACTAGCTACAATTACGGATTTGAGATGTTAAGGATGGAATGAATTTATTTGTTAAGATTTCTTGCTGATTTAATAGACAGGAGATTATCTTCTCTAGCCTATTCAAGATCCTTGAATAATATATGATGAACCCTAAGTGTTAGGGGTGAACCGGGGGTCTTATCAAGTTGTTATTTTTAGAGATGGAACTGTGGAATAATGAAGGGGAAATGGGCTGGATGAAAATATGGGAATGTGAAGGAGTTCTTTTTGGGTTTTGATATTATGAAGAAGAGTGGAAAATCAGGGATGAAGGATGGGTTTAGAAAGGATGGGATAAATTCCAAATAAGGAATAAGAGATAAACACACTCTTATCTTAATTTGGAGCCAAATTAATACTAAAGGATAATGTTAGGCCCGAGACCCGGGGTATAATCAAGTTGCT